ATTTTCAACACTACCCCTCACCCAATACGTATTAGAATTGAGGAAACTGAGGCTCAGAAAGGAGAAGTCAATCAACAAGGTCAAACCAGCTGGTAAGTAGCAAAGCTACAAATCTGAACCAAAGACATCTGACTCCAAAATCCATGCTGCAAAACACTATGCTAGACTGTTTCTCAATGGAAGTTAAAGGACATATACTTCTTCCCCCAAATACTACCTGGAACCCAGACTTCAGGTGGGGAAGAAGGCAAGGCCTCATTTTTTCACTTCTTTAATCAGCTTTTGTACTTAAACACTTAGAGGAGCAAAGACAGCCCGGGTAAGCTGACCAACGAGTCCCTCTAGCCTATTACCCCAGCTTCTACAGCTTTTCTCATCTAAGACCTCTGATCCTTACATAAAACTACCCAATATGCTGTTTCCCTTCCAGCAAATGCTGGAGTGCAGAGGTCAGCCAAACTTGGTGACTTGGAGCATTGCCAAAGACACGTGGGAGAAACCAGGAGATATTCACAAGATACCCACCATCCCTGAACTGCTTACTGGACCATAAGGCACATAGACGCATTTAGATGGAAACACAAAATTGTTTCTTCTATCCTGGCTTGCCAGGCCTGGCCCCACTCCCGGGATTCTCCTAGTCAATCTCTCCTCACTGGCTCTCCACTGTCCAAGACTTTAGGTACCTTCCCCTCACCCACCTCTGGAGGCCCCACGGACCATTGGTCCCTGGGCCTCAATGATGCCAGGGTCTAAGGCCTTGTCACCTAGAAACATGCCAAAAGTGCTCGGCCTGGCTCCACTGAGGACCCCAAGACCTGTGAGGATTAAACAGAAATGGCTGAAGACTTGCAGAAGGGCCACCAGAGTTAGAAAAGCTAAACAGGCCACACAGAATTAACAAAGGAATACTAAGAGAACAGAGCAGACACAGAACAAATGGACCAACCACAGGTCGAAAAAGGAAGATAACTCAAAGATGTTCAGGGCTGAGCCCAGGGGGAGAGATCCAAGAGAAAGTCTATCCAAACACTTGCAGCCCTGGGGCTTCTGAAGAAAGGGCAACCATTTGGGAAAAAGGCCCTTGGCTGAGGGAGAGATTGGAGAGAGGAAAGCTGAGTGGGAGAGGGAGAAACTGAGGGAGCCCTGAAAAGGGAAGCTGGAGTATGTCTTCAATGCAGGAAGCCTGAGAGGACACCAGAGAAGTCGGCAGGGACTGGAGGATGAGCACTGAAGGTTCCAGAGGACGACAAGAACAGGGCTGAGAGGCCAGGGCTTTTGTAACCCCAAGAGCCATGTCCAGGTGCACCCCAGCATCCACCCTGTTTGGGTAAAACTAGTCACTGAGGGCTATTTCCTGTCGTCCTACTAAACTCTGCAGCCAATCTAGAAGGCAGAAGCCTCAGAGGCAGGGAGTTTACCAAGGGAGAGACAGTCCTGTCTGTGGGAAGTCCACATTCTGAGAGGAGACAAAGAACCGTCCGTGTCTAAAGAACCCACCACACACAAGTCACAAAACTGAGGAACAAATACCAACTAGTGCAAATTAATATAATCCTTAAAGTGCGAAGACAGAGGAAGAATGCGCACTGACATGCCACGGAGACCTGCGAAGATCCAAGTTGGGACTCTCCACACCTTAGGACTCAGCCCACTAGAAGTGATCTCATCACCTGTGCACACGCCTGGGTGGGGCCTCAGTGCTCTTCAGCAGCTACTACACTGGCACCGACTGCGAAAAACCAACATTGCTGGGAGACCTGGAGTGAAGAGTCCCTCCCTGGGGAGCCCAGGGACTCAGCGGAGCCTGGGGGCAGAGCTTGCTCTCTACCGATCTTCCTCCTCTCTCAACAATCTCTCATCTTGTCCTCAAAAGGTGCAAGATTCATGGCTTCATAACCTCTGGCTGTTTCGTGTGGTTTCCTCTCCAACTAAGTAGAGGCTCCTAGAAGATAAAAACCAGGTCTTCTCCACACCCTGCAGTGTAGTAATGTAACAGACACTTGTCACAGGTCGGGTATCTGGAGTGTTAGAAGAATTTTTCCACAAACAGCAAACACGGCAAATCTTTTCCATTGCTATTCTTTGCCCTATCACTTGCATTTGACACCCATCTCTCTTTGATGGCTCATGCCTAAGACCCGCCCATTACTGTATCCACCTCAGGCTGGGGACTGGGCCTACCTAGGCTTTGTTAAGAAACATCAATGGCTCAGCCCGCTTGTGGGAACAATGGAAGGGTATGTGGCCCAAGAGTCTCTGGTGGGGGCAGAGGGAGGGTCTCCCCACACTGGGCAGGCCCATTGATAAGGATCCTTCCCCTCTCTGTCTCCTAACAGATTCAGATTAATGATTGCTCATTCCTAATTGTCAAATTTCTTTTCCTTCATCCTGTGTCTAATCACCAGTGACAGAAACCATTACGCAAATGAGAGCAGACGACTTCCCCCAACTGTTCGCGTTGGTAAAAACCTTGTAATTTAGAGCTCTGATTTGTAGGGGAAGCTGGTCTCCCCCAGGCATCCTGGGCATCTGCTCAACTGATGCCCAGAACAGCCCCTCCTCCCTCCCCCAAACTCCAACCCCCCAACAAATATTTGACTTCACAAAAGAGTAGTTTCCCATGTACCTGCTGATGTAAAAATGGGAGCCTGTAATATGGCTGATCCCCCTTCAGGTCCAAAGCCCCACCTTCCCTTGGTGTGTCTGCCTCCACGCTGCTGGTTAGCATAAGAGTAAGCTACAGAGCAGATATGTTTCTTAGCCTCAAGTAGAATTTGAGCCTAAACAGCCCTAACTTAATCCTAAGGGAAGGGAGGAGACTAGATCTCTTACTTGGGGGAAAGGGAGGCAGCAGAACATGAATCAATGTTCTTAGTTATCATCTAGACTGGATCTTCAATCTTTAGGTGCAGAAGCAAGCTGGGAAAACTTATGATACCTATTCAAGCACAAATAATGCACTGAGATCTAGAACTCCATTTCCCCACAACTCCTTCCAGCACTCCTCACTCAGAACAGGGCTTCCCGGTAGTTTTCCCAAGAGGTCTTTAGCTGGAGCCCAAGAGAGCTTTTACCCGGAGCCCAAAAGAGCTTTTACCCTGAGCTGTATCTCATGCACCTTCTTGGGCACTGCCCAGTGGGGTGAGATCTGAGGACAGCCTGTAGTACAAGGGAGGCGGCAAGGTAGGAGAATCAACAGTTTGCTGGAAAGGGAGCAGCAGGGGGTTTGCAGTCCAATTAACACTAGGTTCATATCTTGATTGCCACTAGTTACTGAAACCTCTCTGAGCCCGTTTCTTTAGTGGTGAAATGAAAATACCTACCTTGCAGGATAGTGAGGAATAAAGATAAAAGCACTAGGCAGTGTCTAATAATCAGGTTCACTATTATATTACCCAAGCGTCAGGACCAATCCTGTAAAGGACCCTCCCCCTTGGTCGCCTTAGGTCAGATCTGTGTCAGCACAGCATCCAGCCAGGATCAGCCGAGTGGCACATGCCTTTCTGCTGCACATCACTCACATCTTTGAGGGCTGAGCTAGGAATGCAACAGACCCGCTAAGGAGAACAAGAATAATCCGCTATCTTTCAAAGTTTGATTGTGGTCAAGTTTATCCTCTGTCTGCCTTGTTTTCTTTGCTGCGCTCCTCTTTCCCAAGAGATGGAGGGATGCAGATCATTGCAATCACATTTTCCAGCATTGGCTATATTTGAAAGAACTACACTTGAGAAGGTACCGTGTTTGCACACCCGCGCTGCATCAGAGAACCCCAGAATGGGGTATTAAAAATAAACACCCCTACCCAAAATACACACACAGGTGCACACACGCATACACATACATCCTCAGTCCATCAGTGCGCTGTTAACTGTAAACTGAGCTTTGGGAGTTAGAGCCACAGCTCAGATGCTGAAAGTAAACCTTTGGCAAAAAAAAAAAAAAAAAAGGAAAAAAACCCAGAGTTTTCCAACTCCTCTTTCCTTCCAGAGAGAAGGGGCATGGAGATGGAAGTGGAGGTGAAGAGACACAGGGCCACCGGGCCACCATACTGCCCAATTCCAGTGGCCCCAGTTCCCCTGAATCATGTGACCGATGGCCCTTTGAGTTGTGCAGTGCCCAGCTGTAAGCTGCAGCCCTGAGAGGGGGTCCCACAAGTAATGATGAACAGGACAAGAAATTCCACTTCTGTGCTCCATCATCAGTTGCCCTGACTTCCAAGGGTGTTTGTGGAACATTATAGTGGGGTCTGGCAGAGGCGCTGGCTTTAAGAAGCAAGGCTGTATTTCTGTCCTTGCCCTGAGGTGGATGATAGGTGGTAAGTTAGCTGCCTAAGCTTGACCCCATTTCATTTACTCGGCCAGGAAACTCCGCAGGAGTAGAGGACGTGGCCTGGGCTGGGAGGGTCACAGGACCTGGAGGTTGCAGTGAGACCTGACCAATGTCCAATGGCTAAAACTGAGTTTAAAAGCTTTAGGCTAGGTCAGGCAGTACTTCCCTGGGGCTCACACTGTATGTCCCACTGGACAAGGTTAAGCAGTGGAGAAACTTAGTAAGCAGAGAGGCAGGCCAGTGTGGAGAAGGACACGCATGCGCGCGCGCACGCATGGACACACATATCACACACACATCCACACGGAGGCTTATACCCCTAGAACCTAGAGAAGCCACTACTAGGATAACTCCCTTGGCACTCAGCACAGGGAGCAAGAGCTGGTGCTGAAAGAGAGAAGCTGTATGTGTCCGCAATTTGGAACTTATGCATAATCCTTGGCTCTAACGTCCCAAGGCTCTTTTCTATGTATGGCTTGAGCTTAAGGGTCCAAGTTGGAAATCTGTCTAATTCTCTCACAGGAAGGCTATCTAGGCTCTCAGAGGCAAGCCTCCCTCTCACTCTCCCCGTTAAGAGTCCCAGTAACCATTCCCACCCAGCCTAGAGCCTGACTCTGTGAAAACTGGAAGGAGGCAGACTGACCTGACGGTCAGGAGAACTCTGGCCCTGCAGCCCCTTAGTGGGTGTCCAAGACCATCTCCTCCCTCTCAGGCTGAGGCACTGAGGCTGCAGGAGACAGGACTGAGAGCCAGCAGTGGCATCCTGACCCAGAAGGAGAAAGCAAGGAACAGATACATACATGCGTGTGCATACAGACACACGCACACACACACACACACATCCTGAGGGTGACAGACTGACACACACAGACATGATGACAACCAGAAGCTGGGACTCCACACACTGAATGCAGGACCTTGGGCGGGGGGGCGGCAGAGAGGGAAGATGCTGGGGCACAGAGGCAAGGGCAAGAAGTCCCTCCAAATGGGAGTGGAGCGCCAACCACCCTGCCTTGCCCCAAACACCTGCCTCCAGGGCCATGGCAAGAGTCCAGTCCATTAAGTGCAGCGTGCAATACTAGCGCTTGGAGTCTCCTGTCCTCATCAATGAAGCGGTGTGGACGGGCTAGCAGTCACCTGGCAGGAGGCCTCGACTCCTGGCAGGCTAGTTGTATCGACCCTTGATCATTGTGTTCAACAAGGGCCCCACCTGTGAAGAGACATGAGGAGCCAGTCAGAACTGCCTGTCCCCCGGCCCTGGAGCCAGACGTGGTGTGTCTGGAGGCATTCTATGTCCAGCCAAGGGCAGGGATAAGGCTTTCGTTCAAGCTTGTAAACCCACTAACCTACTCTCTTCCTGAAGAATATTCCAGGACATGGCCCTCTCCTTTGGGTCCATCTTGTATTACCTTCCCTCTCACAATACCCTATAAACAGCACCAAACTGACAGACAGAAGGTCAGAGGAGCCAATAATCCCCCCAAACCCAAGAGTGCCTGCATGTTTCTTAAACGAGCTTTAAGAAGGTTAAATGCCTCTGTTCCCTGAAACGGTCCCACGCAACCGGGGCTGGTGCCACCTCCCAATCCCACAGGTCCTCTGGATGCTGAGGCTATCCACAGGAAGAAGGCAAGAGCATTACAAATGCCTCCCCTGGGTACCCAATGGGCCACTGGCACACCTGTGTGGGAAGCAGGTCTCAACATAACCTACAGCAGCCTTGGCACAGCTGGGAGAGCGTGAGGAGATGCTTTACTGCTCGCTTCCCATTCTAGAAAAATCCCCTCAGGGGTCCCCAGCTGGCACACAAGCCCCATGGGGAACATTACCGCTAGCATGGAACAGATTATAATTGATCCACCAGTCAAGCCCAGCTCTCACCAGAAAACAAAGATTTTCTGAACACGCCCATAACCTCTATGGAGAGAAAGGACACCAGATACTGAAACAGAGCTATGGAGAATGTGACACTAATCCTGACTTGCCCTTGTCACTCTGCCCACTGGGCCACAGGAGTGCCACCTTGGGGCAGCCACATACCTCTTGTGGGTTCCCCAAGGCCTCTCCAAGCATCTTCTCAATGTTTCTCATTATGGCCACTTTCTGATGGGCTTTGAGAGGATATTCAATTCTCTTAGGGGTGGGGGCCCCCTGCAAAGGAAGCAGCAGCTCAGGAAATGCCTTTAGCAGCAGGCTTCAATGTAACCCACCATTCTAGCACCTTCACCCCTTCTAAGAAACCCGGTTCAATCCCATCCCTCTTCATCTCCCCAAAGACCTGGGAATCACTTTCAGAGAGAGCCAACCTCCCCACCCTGCCCCCAATTCATTTATTACACCTACCTCACCCCAATCCCATCTAGGGGGGAAATACCCATATTCACCTTATACCAGAAGTTCACAGTGATGGTAATCCCCCCATTTAGTAATGACTCTATGTGATGCCACCTGCAAGAAAATAAACATGCTCCTGTTTGCCACCAATATTCTTTTAGAGGGAGGGATGGAAAACTAGGTAAAGTCTGGCTAAAGCAAATAACAAGGACATATCTTTATACTCATCCTGTCAAACACACCCCGGGACCAGAGGCAGTGGTGTTCAGTTCAGTCTCCAAATACAAAAGAGCCAAGAACAGTCTCTCCAGCCTCAAGCCACTGGGATCTCTTTGGACCTGAGGAATTGTCATCTTGTCCTAGAGACTGGGTTGTCATTTCCCCCATGTTCAGTATGCTCACATCTGGATATGCCAACCTTTCTGTAGATCACATAAGACCAATCCTGCCACAACTCAGAAGGGACACAGATACAGCTTTCCAGGGAATGGGAAAGAAAGCTCCCAAGAAGCCCAGTCCTAGCCCCCTCCTCACCAGTACATTGGGATGTAAAGAACATCACCAGGGCCAACCACTGTTTCATAACCAACCACGTTCTGGAAATTGGGGAACCTCTCGTAGTCAGGATTGTCAAAGTCCACCTGAGAGGTTCAAGAGAAAGAAAAAAAAAATCAGTCAATCACCAAATCTTTATTAATAACTGTGATGTGCTAGTCTGGTAGTGATAAAAAGATGGCTTTAAGAAAAAAAAATGTGTTTAGAATTTATATCCAGCAGAAGATACCACACACACCTTAAACATACACACATCCTCTCAGAGAACCGTGTAAGACAGGCCATGCTTGAAGATTGATAAAGAATCCTGGGCCTCAGTGCTCCTGAGGTCAGAAGCCAATCATCCCAGCTTGCAGGTCAGAAAACCTACTCATGGCCTGCAGATATGAGGAATGAGGATGCATTGCCTTCAACCAAATCTTCTGAAACTTTCTCCCACACACATATTCCTACCAGCAAAAACTCATACATGAAGTGGCTAGGCAGTTTTCTCAAGAAAGAAGAGGACCTCTCTGGTTGGCCATAAAGTCAACCATATACTTCTTTTAGATCCAGGAAAGACAGTAAATGACATATGACAATTCTGTTCACCCTTCTCCTTATCAAAAAGTAGCAGCATCCATGACAACAGAACAAATTATTAAATCCAATGGAGACACACACATTCAAGCTGGGAAACCAGAGTCCACTAGCATTAGTGATGGGGTCTGCCCTCTAGAACTAGCTCAACGGAACTGTTTATCCTTATAAACATCCGGGGACCACCACAAGGGCCTGGAATATGTGAGCTACACTGTGAAATTATCCTGAGTTTATCCACAGGGAAGGGGAAAGACATGCCAACCTTGGATCCCAAAGGAGTTCTATACCCTCCTTGCACCACACAAGCTCACCTGGCTCTGTCTGTCACATGGGTGATGAACAGGATATGGGTACAGGCACTCAAACTGATCCGGAGGGAATAAAATGCATCGCTTGTAGCCTTTTATCTGAGCAAAGAAGTTCTGCTGCTCATCATAGTGAGCAGGTGTCACATTTCCTGTAGGAGGAAAGACATTTTCTTATTCAGAGCAGTGGCTCTACTGCATAGGCTGGAACACAGGCCCGGTGCTGGAGAGAAACCCAGCCTGCCCTCTCAGCTAAGAGTTCCCAATCAAAATTTCAAACAGAATCAGGGTGACTGCAATTACAACTCTCAGCAAAGTAGGTGTTACACTTTCAGTGGGCAGTAAGTTGTCCAGAAACCATCACTGGCTAAGGGTTCACCATCAATTACAGCAAAGCAAACTTTCATAAATGATGCTTCTGCCCTTACTGGAAGCAGCAGCACATCAAGATAATATTCACAAGCCTGGCAAAGTAATATACTGTGCATACTCGTACTCTTCTTGACTATAGCACAAATCAAAAGGGTAGCAAAACAAGAGTAACAACTGAAATGACTGGTATCAACAACGCATGCATAATCTTCTTTGACGGAGTTAATCGGTCATTTTAAGTTGTATGAATATGTACTTCTTCTGGAGCTCAAAGATTCTCAACCTTTGTTCTCACTTCAACACATCTGTGGGATGCAACACTTCTTAGAGCAACACTGAGGCTGTTAATTCTCATGGGGCATGGGGGACGAGTATCAGATTCCTGAAGTGTTGTATAATTTGAATAAGGCAAATTATTTAAAATGCCAACTTAAATTAGTTCTGCCCTAGTATATGTATGCTCCATCTACTCTTTATAACTGGGACCTCATCTGTTGTTTATCCTTTGCACAATCCCTGAGAGCTGAGGGGCCCTTCTGTAGGGCACGGAGTTCAGAAAACATTCCCTGGGTTGGCCTGAGTGGGCCAAGACAGCCGCCTTCTTTAATGCTCAGTCCATGTGCATCCTCAAAGGAGATTTGCTCTCTCATCTCTACCTGAGGGATCTGCTTCTGTGCGCTCTACAGAAGGGCAGGAAGTCAACAGAAGAACTTATAGCTAAGTAGGTCGGAACTAGCTCCTAGTAGGTTAATCAAGAGCTGGTTTCAAAGGGGCAGGTTAGGGGTGCAATCCATAAACTGCACTGCTAGAAATCTTTATTAATACTTGCAGCAAAGGATCCAAAACTGAAAAAACGACAATAAAAGGAGAAGAGACCACTACTCCGCTTCCTTGCTTGATCTAATTTATTCACTATTTACTAAGTACCTACTAGGGGCCTGGCCTTGAGCTAGTGCCACAAATAAAAACAAGAATGAGGGGCGCCTGGGTGGCTCAGTGGGTTAAGCAACTGCCTTCGGCTCAGGTCATGGTCCCAGGGTCCTGGGATCGAGCCCCGCACAGCCTGCACCGGGCTCCCTGCTTCGTGGGAAGCCTGCTTCTCCCACTCCCACTCCCCCTGGTTGCAGTCCCTCTCTTGCTGTTTCTCTGTCAAATAAATAAATAAAATCTTAAAAAAAAAAAAAGAATGAGACAATGACCCTGGCTAGTAAGCAGCTCTCCTTCTTTTGACTGGAATTCAAAGGCCTCTCCTCCCGGGCGCCTGGGTGGCTCAGTCGTTAAGTGTCTGCCTTCGGCTCAGGTCATGATCCCAGGGTCCTGGGATTGAGTCCCGCATCGGGCTCCCTGCTCTGCGGGAAGCCTGCTTCTCCCTCTCCCACTCCCCCTGCTTGTGTTCCGCTCTCGCTATCTCTCTCTCTCTAATAAATAAATAAAATCTTAAAAAAAAAAAGGCCTCTCCTCTCATTCAAATGAAAAAAAAAAGAATGAACATATTCACATATTTGCTTGTGTATGCATAAAATCCTCTAACGGGATACACAAGCAACTAATAACATGTGGTGCCTCCAGGGAGGGATATCGGAAAGTTGGCAAATAGGACTGGAAGAGAGATTTATCATTACACACCTATTTATACCTTTTGAATTTAACTCCATAAATATATTAACATTCAAAAGATAAGGCTCCATTTATACTGAAAAAATAAGCTTTCCTCTTCTACTGGAATAAAAACTCCCTGAATACAGAGAAATCCAATAGATAGAACAGTATCTCAGGAAGATCCCTAATACCCGCGTATACACGCTCATGCTGCAACTGAGGAAGGGAAGAGAAAACTCTTTTTAGAGTGCATGAAACTAGCTTAATCACTTTATGTACATTAACACGTTTAATCTTTATAGCTATTTATAAGATATCATCATATTCCTTTCACAGAAGAAGAGGCTGAGGTTTAAAAAAGTTAGGTGACTCGTCCAAAGTCATAAAGCAAATGAGTGGTGAAGACAAGCCTGGAAGTTAGGTTTGTATGACTCCAAGCTATGCTGCTTTCTGAAAGATTTCTTACCTTCCATGCCGATGAGCAGCAGGTTGGATGTCAGCTGTCCCCAGCCACGCTTTCCCTGTTGCTTATTAATCCAGTTCCAGTTAAAACCCAAGAAGTCCATCACAATCTTCCTGCCCACGGTGTCATTGAGTGTTTGCTGCAGATACAACCTATGTTCCCCGAGAATAAAATCCCATTAGTGCACATACACAGTCCCTTGGCATGGCCTCCCCACATCTGGAAATCCAAATCCACAACAGCACCTCCCACAGAGACCAGCTGCAGCCATGCAAATCTTAACCAAGATAGATTCTCACAGAACTGAATCCTTGCCTGTCCTTCTTTGAGCTCTGTTCAACACCAAACTTGCTATTTTAAAGAAAAGATTTTTTTTTTTTAAACGTAAACGCTATACCCAGTGTGAGGTTTGAACTCACAACCCTGAGATCAAGAGTTGCATGTTCTCACCAACTGAGCCAGCCAGGCGCCCCTAAAAGAAGTGATTCTTGACCTTTTCTGGGTCACAGCATAAATCTAAGAATCCAAGGAACGCTTCCATAAAAAATGTACATAAACACAGAACTTTCATACAATTTCATATTCCTCAACACCTATTCAGAGTCTAAAATGATTAACCAGCCTTTCTCTAGAGACTTTCAGAGCCTCAGACATCCTCTCTGGCCCTCGATGGCCGTTATGATAGATCATATTACTGTTCACCAAGATCTAGTTTCTTCCCTGTGGGAGAGTTAATTCTCCTGTAACCCCTTGAAGCCAAACTTGCTTATTTAACTTACTTTGACCAGGTATGTCCACAAAAATGACTTGTGTTGCGTCCAAATTGTAATTTGAAGAAACAGTACTCACTACCACCACATCTCTTTCCCTCTGCTAATCAACTGCAAGATTTCAGATAGTAGCTGCTGGGTCCCAAAATGAAAAAGATGACTTTAACAGCAGAGCCTCCATGTGACCTATGACAGACATGCAGCATGACTGTTGTTGTTATAAACCTAAATAAAACTTTGTTGTTTCAAGCCACTGCCTCTGGCTTGAAACCTAGTTTATCTTAACTAACTCAGCCACCTCTCTGTAGCAGCCTTCTACAACTGAAAGCCTCATCAGGCTTTCTGCAGACCCAGCGCTCCTAACACACCGAAGAAGATCGGAAATTAATTAAGGGATGTGAAAACCCGCTCAAGTCCCATAAGGGACATTAATAAAAGGGCAAACATGAAGACAAAACATAAAAGCAGCCCTGTTCTAGTCCCAAGAACGTTACTTCAAACGACTCAAAGGTATCTCAGTGCCTAGAATCAGGATGTTTAAGGCAGTATTAACTAGAAATCTTGTAAGTTGTAAACACTAGCTACCTTTAGGGGGACAAGGAACCCTCAGGACTCAAATACAACCTTTGGACTCTCCCCAGAAATTATAAAATATTCATACAAAAATTTTGCCAAGTAACTTTGAAAGGCAAAACACTCACCAAACATGAATCCAAACAAATTCTATTACATCTGAACAGTAAATGGTCAAAAGAGCTCAAAGAGCAATCACAGAATTCCTTGAATCGTAACAACCCGTACAATTCCAAAGTGGAATTGGTTGGTGGTAAAGTAAGCTGGTAGGGCAAAACCTGTGTATAGGAAAAAAATTTTCCTTGAATCACTCATAAAGACTACACTCATAGCTTGTACTTAGTGAGGCAAACTGCTCTACCTATGGGAGGTAAGAAACTTAAAGTGATTGAGGAAACAGGACTCTTGTGTCTTATCTCATGCTCCTTCCAGCGCAAATGTTCATGCAGTGGAATTACATTCCACCAGCACCATTTAACTTTTTTTTTTTTTTTTTTTTATTTATTCATGAGAGACAGAGGGAGAGAGAGAGAGAGAGAGAGAGAGAGAAGCAGGCTCCCAAGGAGCAGGGAGTCCGATGCGGGGCTCGATCCCAGGACCCTGGGATCACGACCTGAGCCGAAGGCAGACGCTTAACCATCTGAGCCACCCAGGCGCCCTCCACCAGCACCATTTAAATTGACTTCTCTCTCTTAACATTGGGGATGTGTGGACGTGTGCCTACACGTGTATATGCTATGTTAAATTTGAGGAAACTTAAGCAGAAGATGACTTACGTCAGTCTTTGTAAGAACATAAAGAACTGATCAATCACAGTTGAGACCCTGGAAACTCTTTTTGGTCAAAGTTCTAGCACTATGATAAAGGCTAAGTGTCAGTAAGAAACACAAACACAAAAAATATATTCCAAATCCATTCATTCAGCCATATGCTACTAACAGGGAAAGAACTGAGGTAGGAGACTAAAGAGAAGCCCAGGGTTGGGCACCAAATGTGAGAGGCAGATGGTCATTCACCATGAAGTACTCAGTGAAAGCAATTCCCCAGAAGCAATGTTACAGTGAGGAACTGAATGCTGTCTGGGACCTACCGAAGAGGCTGTCTTCACATATAAGGATAAAAGCACAGAGGAACAGTCACATCTGAGTGTGTCATGTGTTTGCTATCTCTAGTACAACGTGGAAATCCATTATCAACTGAATCTGATCTCCCCTAATCTAGAGGACCCTGACATCCTTCACCCCAGAATCATAACAATCTATAAAACTTTTTAGTTTTAATTGTCCCAAGCCAGCCTAACATTTTAGGACACAGGGTGCAAACTGGCAATCTCAGGGCTAAATCCAATGACAGTCGGTTTTGTCTGGTACCCCGCAGCATTTCTAAAAATTTGAATTAGCTGTCTCCATTTAAAAGTCAAAAAAATGTAAGTAAAAATCCTAATTTCTGGCTTCTCTCGAAAATGAGAGTATCTAGCAACCCTGGGACTGCACTCCTAAATGGAAACAAGAATCAAGTAACGACTTCTCACTTTGAATAGGGCATACGCTTTCAGCTTCACTCTAGTTTTCACCCAAACAACTTCCCTCGTTTTGTTCACCTACCTGACCCTTCTAGGCAACTGTGACTGTCCCTTTGTGAAGACAACAAAGAACTACAGAGTCACAGTTCAAGTCTAATCATTCTCTCATCTCTCAAGCTAGAGAACTCGTCCAACTCCTCCATATGCTCAATTACAAGAAAAGAAAATGGATGCCCTAGATTCAGTGGGAAGCCACGATCTGGGAACTTACCTCTCTTCTCCTCCTTGCTGCTGTATATCCTGCAGTTTCTCAACAAACTCATGAAATTTCATTTCCTCCCTGTTGGACCTGGGCTTAAAGTTCTGGAAATTAGCCATCTTCTTCTCATCATAGTACAAGAACTTGTGGGTGCTGGCACTGTACACAGAGAAGTCTCCATTCCCAATGTTCTCCTGCAGGTATTCAAGGTCCCATTTCAGGGCAGGATACACAAGATTTGTGTCTGTCAGCACCACAGGCTCCTAAGTGAAAACAAGAGAAAAAAACAAATGAAGTCGTCCCAAGGACCTGGTGGATTCTTGTCTCATGACGCCAACAACTTCCCTACTTCTGGATACTTTCTCCTGTGAACAAGCACGAAGTTCCATTTCTCCTCGCCTCCCTCTCCATCCTCCCTCAGGCCCTAGTCCACAGCCCTGCCAGTCCCCCACTTGTATCACCATTCGCCTTTGACCTCTCCTCTCAAGCTGGTCCCTTCCCCCTCCCCCTTCGGACAGGGCCCCGCCTCCTACCTCATTCTCGATAAGCTCCTCCGCCCGGGGGTCGCTCTGACTCAGACGCGGGATGGGCCGGGTCGGGAAGCTATAACTGCGCAGTTGGGACTCATCCCAGGCGAGGCTGGGCGCTTCGGCCTCTTCTCGGGGTTCTCCAGAGCTCGAGGCCGCAGCCTCCGTCGCTGTCGCCGCCATCTCCGTCGCTACAGACGGCCCCACCGGAACCGGAAGCCCCGCCTGTTCAGGATAAAACACAACGGAAACCATAGAGATGGACTGCGCGCGAGAGCGGTCCAGAGACACAAAGAACGCGGAACCTGGGCGTGGGGGAGCTCCTCCTAATGGTGACCTACAGCTTTACACCCTAAGCTCGGCCCGTGAAGTCTTGGGGCGCAGAGGTTAAACCCACTGATCACCTGGTTAACCAATACACCAAATATTATTGCTGCGTCAGTGTGCCCAGGCCTACAGAAGAAGCGGAAAAGGAGGCCAGTTTAGCGAGGCATTAAATTTTACAGTCATGGATGGGGAGAGAAGTAAACTCTTGACCTACCTAAGAAATCAGAAGGAAAAGCAATTGTCAGATTGATAGATGGTGGGCAAAGGTTGCTCTGAAGGCCTAGACAAAAGATAAAATCCATAGAATGGGAGAAAATATTTACAAAGTACATAGCTGATAAGTGACTTGTATCTAGAATATATAAAAAATTTTTACAACTAAGCATAAAAAGTCAACCCAATTAAGAAATAGTTAAAAAAAATGGAAAAAAAAAAAGAAACAGATGAAAGACTTGAGTAGACATTTTTCTCCAAAGAAGATATACCATGGCCAATAAGCACATGAAAAGATGCTCAACATCTTTAGTCATCAGGGTAATGCAAATCAAAACCACAATGAGATACCATTCACAGCCACTCGAATGCGGAAAAATTGGAAGCCTCATATGCTGCCAGTGGGAATGTAAAATGGTGCAGCTTTTTGAAAAACAGTTTTATAGTTCTGCAGAAAGTTAAACAGAGTTATCCTATGATCCAGCAATTCTTTCTTTTTCCTTCCTTCCTTCCTTCCTTCCTTCCTTCCTTCCTTCCTTCCTTCCTTCCTTTCCTTTCCTTTCTTTCTCCAGCTAGTCTACTGCTAGGTATATACTGAAGAGAATTGAAAACATACAACCACACAAAAAGTTGTACAAGAATGTTCACAGCAGCACTATTTATAATAGCCCCAAAGCGGAAATAACCCAAATGTCTATCAACTGATGAGTGTATAAACAAAAAGTTGTATATCAATATAACAGAATATTATTGGCCATCAAAAGGAATGAAGAACTGACACATGCTACAACATGGACAAACCTTAAAAATATTATGCCAAGTGAAGTAAGTCAGACACAAAATGTTACATATTGCATGATTCCGTTTATATAAAATGTCCAAAATAGGCAAATCCATACAGACAGACAGTAGACTAGTGATTGCCAGGGTCTAGGGGTAAGGGTAATGAAAACAATTTAGAATCAGTGGAGATAATTGCACAACTTTGTAAATATACTAAACATCACTTTATTGTACAATTTAAAGGTATGAATTTTATTGTATGTGAATTATATCTTGATAATAGTAAGTAAATTAGAAAACAGTTTCTTAACCCAAATTTGATCAGGGCTTGATTGAATGCAGATATTGTACAATTATTTTGAACATCAACTAGTGATGCTTATTTACAAGAGGGCAAATTGCTGTGAAGTAATCCTCCCCCAAATTTATATGCCAAGTAGTATATATAATCTTTATTGCTCTAAGATATATCTGAGAATGTCTGTAATAATGGATTCTGCACCAAAACAGTCATCACCCTAAAAGTTGCTAGAAATACGTGTACATTTATATTGTTTAAATTATACAAATCCTGTTTGTGTAAAAGTGAAAACATATTCATATGCAAACATGATAATATCCCCCATTCTTCTTTAAGCTAGTATTTGTTAACTGTGGTCCGGCTTGAAATCTTTACAAGTCCTAGCCAATCTGAGGCTTTAGCCAGTCTGGGAAGAGCTGCTTTAGGTGCTAGGATTGGTTTTACATTTGTTGGATTGAGGTGACTGGGACATTCAAATATAAATACGGAGTAAAACTGAGGAGCGAATTTGGGGCGATTTGTGTGTTGCATCATTCCTCTATGTGAAGGAGATCAACCAATTTGCAGAACAGAACAGGAGCAAGGAAGACCAAGGGTGAATTTGAAGAATGATCACGTTTGGGGATGAAAGGAGGAAGTGCCAGTGAGGCAGAGGAAAAAGGCAGGCAGTCAAAGAAGTCATTAAGACAGGCTCATTTGACTTGTACTGCACCTGGGGGAGGTAAGTTAGCTGTCCACCTGAGATGCTCGGGTTCTGTGTCCCCATTATCCTTGGAAGTGTCTAAGTCAGCTGACGGAGAAAGGGACACAACAGTATGAAATGTCAAATAATGACCTGCTCGCTTTTCTCTCCTTTCCACTTTCCCTCTCTGCCTCTGTCCAACCTCTCATCTTCGTGTGGCTTCTCAACACGGTTTAAGCCCCGCCCTTGTTGGAGCCTTACGACTTTCCTTCGCTACCGGCTTCCCATGTCGCGTTTGGCCCGGCTCAGCCGCCGTGACAAGGCCTTTGCGCATGTGCAGGGTCAACTGGGAGGAAGGTGAAGATGGCGACGGCCGGGGCGTGGGTCTTGGGAGTGCGATGGCTGCAAAGGGCAACCCGGACCGTGGTGCCGTTGGGTGCACGGACAGGTCCGCGAGAACGGGCGAGGCCTGAGTGTGGGGATGCCTGAGGTTTGGTGTGTCGAGGGTTGGCGGGGGGGCGGGGGGGGACGGGTATCGCGGATACCACGGTGGCCGTGTCCGGCGAGGGGGCGGAGGTGGAATTAGTATGCCCAGAAAAGGGGGTCAAGAGTCTCACTGGTCCCTTGAAGCTTGGGCCACCGCAGCTTGAAGCCTTCGGGGCAGCAGGAGGGACAGGGTCTTTTCTGACCCGCCCTCTTTTGCTCTCCAGCTTCTCACATTACGAAGGAGATGCTCCCGGGGCCCTATCCCAAAACCCCGGAAGAACGGGCCGCCGCCGCCAAGAAATACAATATGCGGGTAGAAGACTACCAACCGTACCCGGATGATGGCATGGGGTGAGATGCAACAGAGTTTGCTCGCAGCCGGGCAGTGATGGGAGATGGCCAGCTGGGTTGGGTGGCTCGACTCTGACCATTTTCCCTGAACCTTCTCGTGACCCCTCAGAGTCAATGGTGTGGGTGCCTTTCTCGGTGGAGGGAGGTGGGAGGTGATGGGTGAGCAGCTGCAGCCTAGAGGACTTCAATTTTATCCTTGGCTCAGGCTATTTCTTCAAAGGAGGAAGCCGAGATTTTAATAGCTCCCTTGAGGACCCCTGAATAGCAGGAACTTTCCTTGGCTTCAGCCAGAGTGCGAGGTTTCATTTAGATTGAGCATCTGCTGGGCTCAGGTGCTGTCATTCAGGCACGTGATCAGGCTGGAGCTGGGCTCCTGTCTTGAGAGCCTTATTTGTAGATGGAGTACTCTATATTCGTATGTATATCTTTCTTTTAAAAAATATCTTTGCTATTAGGGCTGTGGAAGTTGTAGTAACTGTCAAACAGATTAAACAGCCAACTTCCCTACTCCAGTTGATGTTATCCATCCCCCCCCTTTACATAACACCCCGGTGGTTAATTATCTGAAGTGATTATGGTCACCCTCGTTTTCTTTCCTAGCATACTCTTTCAGTAGTGGTTTTAGCAGCTCTTACTCTTCTTGTTGTTTTCCAATCATTTTTTGTGACACATAACTAGTTGTCATCATTTCCTATGTCTCTTTGTTGTGGACAAGAGTAGCCTTGGTAGCAGTCTGTAAAAGTTGAAACTGGATTTGTTAGGGAAAACCCAGCTTAGCAGGAAGTCCCATGAGGTGTTTGAGACATGGAGATGTATGCTAACTTGGTGGTTGGGAGCACAGTTGCTATGAAGAGAATGCTTTTCTAATCTGAACGCTTTTTGTTTGTATTCCAATTAGCTGGGTGACCTGGGGTTCAGACTAAACTTCAGTTTCATTTTCCGTCTAATGAGGGAATCAGAGTGATTGATTGCTGAATTCCCTTCCAGCTCTAACATTATAACATTGCATGATTTTTGTTGTTGGAAAAAAGTAAGAAAAGCATGTATGTTATAATGTATATTATAATGTTTCAGAGTTTGACATCTTTTATTTACATTTTGGACTTCTGTGATTAGTTCTGTGCTTAGTGACTGTAAATTGAGATCTTAATTTGAAAGTGGGTTTCTCTGTCCTTAGGGGAGGCCATTATCTGTCACTTGGTTTCTCATCTCTTAACATGAGGGGACTTTGAATTGCCTGAGTGATGCAGCTCAAAGCCCCTTCCAGAAGTTTTTCTGTCTCTCAGGTATGGCGACTACCCGAAGCTCCCTGACCGCTCACAGCAGGAGAGGGATCCGTGGTATAACTGGGACCACCCAGACCTGAGGTTGAACTGGGGTGAACCGGTGAGAGATCCATGTCCCATTTGACCTTTCTTCCTTCTTGTTAATATCTTCATGAGGATTCTTTATTTAGCTTAAATGGGACTTTCCTGTCTAAGCAACATTAAGGTTTTCTGCCCAGGGAAGCAAGACCCAGTGATCTGAGATCTGAGGTCCCATGTGTGGCACATGGGATGAGACTTCTGCATATAATCAGAGCTCTGTACTTTGAAAATTGTTCACTTCCATTTTTGAACTGTCCTTGGTCAGCAGAACCTAGACCTAAGCCAGCACCTAGTCCTATGTGGTAGAGTAGCTCACACTTACTCGCAGAATATTGCCCCAGGGCAGTAGAATGCCTTTGTCGAACCTTTTATCAGGCTCTGATCACCCTTTTGCAGTCTGCCTGCGTTTTGCAGGAAGAGCAGAATGTTGCATTTAACTGTTTTTCTGCCTCAGATGCACTGGGACCTTGACATGTATATCAGGAACCGTGTGGACACATCCCCCACGCCTGTTTCCTGGAATATCATGTGTAAGCACCTCTTTGGCTTCGTGGCCTTCATGCTGTTCATGTTTTGGGTCGGGGAGACTTACCCCACCTACCAGCCTGTGGTGAGTATCTGAGAAGTGCTCTGGTAGGCATATTTACTTAGTGCTGTTTCCTGAGGGAATGAAGTCTCTGGAGTAGGGA